TCTGATAGATTCTGTGAAGGTTGTATTAGTTTACAATTACAGAGTCTTTTTAATAATTGGACATCTGGGAATGGCATAGTTGATAACTTTATTAAACAATGCCAAATGAAATCATCTTTGCCAGGCTATATTTTAGAATGGATACCTTTTGAGCAATTTGAAGACATAACAAAATTAACTGAAGGTGGGTTTAGTTCAATTTATAAAGCTACATGGACAAGAGGAAATATAATTGATTATGATGAAAAGGAAAAAAAATTTAGTTATACAGGTGCTCATTATGTAGTATTAAAAAATTTAAATAATTCAAGTAATTCAGGAAAAGCATTTTTTGACGAGGTTGGTAGTTTTTATTTAAAACAAAAATGAATAATGTAATACTAATTGATTTTTTATTTAATTACAGGCAATGAATTATTGTAAAATTAAATCAAGTATGATTGTTACTTGCTATGGTATAACTAAATTCCCAGATGATGGCAATTTTGCAATAGTTTTAAATTACCACCCAGAAGGAAATTTAAGGGGTTATTTACTAAAAAATCATTCTAATTTGACATTAAAAGATAGAATTGCAATTTTTAGATGGTTAAGTGTTGCATTATATTTTATACATAAAAAAGATTTAATCCATTGTGATTTACATAGTGGTAATATATTATTGCAAGGAGGTGCTTGTTTTATTACAGATTTGGGATTATGTGGACCAGTTGATGAAAAGTTATCAAATAAAACATTTGGGGTTATATCATATATTGCACCTGAGCTACTTAGAGGCACAAATAATACAAAGAACACAAAAGAAACAGATATTTATAGTATTGGGATGTTAATGTGGGAAATATTTGCAGGCCATCCACCATTTGACAATAGAGCTCATGATCATCATTTAATTTTTGACATATGTGAAGGTTTACGTCCACCAATATTACCTGAAATGCCTGATGATTATGCACAAATGATGCAGAAATGTTGGGATGTGGATCCATCAAAAAGACCAACTATTAATGAGCTTTGGCCATTTGCTGTAAATAAACATGAAGCAATTCTTAATAATAATGATAATAATAATAGTAATACTAGTAGTAGTAGTTCACAACAATTATATAGACCACATCCAGGTGCATATTATACAAGTAGAGTATTAGATGATGAAATTGCTAAATCAAAAGGCTTAAAATTTTACACAAGCAATGAGAGTTCATTAAATGGTCTTGATTTTAACTCTCTCTCTTAAACAAAGGTGAATTAATTTTTCGTTCATCACTAATTAATTGAAAATTCCTATTCATTATTACTTTTTTTAATCACATTTAATTAATTAATAAACGTTGGATTCTAATAATAATAGTAAAATGGAAAGGCCAAGATTAAAATATTGATGAATTGGAGGATCGATTTTGGTTTATAAACCACCAATTTGACTAGTAAATTGAGGTTTATTTAATTTTATTTAATTTATTTAGTACAGAAAATATATACCTATTAGATTTATAGTGATGTAGCTTATGTTTAGATAAATATTCATGTAAAATTTAATATTGCTTTTTTATAGCTTGAGTAATGATTAATGATAATTTTATTAATTTATTTATTAAAAATATATAAAGTTTTAAAATGTTTATTTATATTGCGCAAAACCTATATTTTCATATGGAAAGTAATCGATAAAATTTATTTAGAAAATGAATTTTATTATGCTATGCGAGCTATA